CCTGTCTGTCGGCTACGAAAAAAGCTACAAGGATAAGATAAACTGCAAATGCGATACTGAAACACAGGCCAAAACTTTGACCTCACTGATTCCTTAGTCCTCGCATAAACTGATTCAGATTCCTAGAGCACATGGTTATTATAATCGTCTGCCAATTTGACAAGCCTATCAATTGAATTCCGTTTGGGACTCGGATGCCCCCAAAGTATATCTCAATTATGGCTGTATGCAGGGTCAACTTTTTCCCATTGATTGAGTCCTCACAAATTGGGTTTATTGTTAGTATTAGTATGCGATTTCCGCTGGGTCAGTGTTCCGAATAACGCTTTATTCAGATAAAAAAACGACTGAAGTAATAATATTTGGAATAAACAAGAACAAGCTGATTGTCACCTAATGTGAATGGAAAGAAAGCAAGTTGCTGAGAAAGCCAATTCCTTTTAGTTATTTTTGGTTATTAAAGTTCAAACATCCATATTATTGTTAGGAGTTATAATATTTCGAAAGAGTCATTAAAAATTTAATAAAAATAACAATAAATAGATTTCTTCGGGGAGTTTCAGTTTTTATGAACAGTAAAAAAACAATATCTTTGGCCACCTTTAGTGCTTGTCTGTTTCCTAAAAGGAAATTTCCCTAAAAGGAAATTTTCTCTTAGCCTTTGAACGCTTTTTAGTTCCCTCTTAAAGATTAAATACTGGTTTTGCACATTAGGTGGCGAAATTTTGGTGGCTAGCCTTTATGAATGAATCTCTAAAGATTAATATTTTTAAGTTTGTAGTTTAGAAAGCGTACTCACATCCGCAAATGGCATTTATTTTATAGATTTTTTTAAAAAGGCTTCGTATTTTATTTTATTCTTTACCAATATGTAAATCATGTTCCCTTTCGTTACTTTAAGGAACATTAGTAAATTGCTTTAGGAAAACATGAGAATGCGAATAATATCATGCATTCCATTAAACCTTCTCTAAGAAAGGCAATGTTAATTTAAATTTCGGCCGAGTTCTCAACTTAGTTGGAAATTATTTTGTTCTTTTGGCTGTTTCATGCAAAAAAAAAAGTTTGAATTGAAAACATAAACAAAATAAAGTCGTGCTAACAAGGCTTGATTTCTCGGAGATTTCCATCTCCCTGGCTTCTCTGAAAGCTAAGACAATGTCGCTAAGTTGCTGACTTAAATTGTTTTGGAGCCCCCTTGGCCGCCTCTGCCCATTTTTGATGCTTCATTTTTATGGCTTGTACAGTTGCAGCTGCTCGAGGTAGTAAATAATTGCGGCGTGCTGGAATTTGCCGTTTCTTATGAGCGGGGCCGTGCTGGAACCCCTTTGTTATCGCCCGGCCAACATGGCGTATGCGCAATTACGTATACGACATGTAGGCGCTTACATTAAACACTGACCGCTGTCTAGTCCAGCTTCTGTCAAGTGTCCTCGTAGGGCAGTCATAAAAATTCCACAATGTTGATTTTAATATATCCTTAATGGGGTGCCATAAAAAAGAGTTGATGTCCAGTGCGAATAGTTGCAGTTAAAGTAAACTTCATTGACTTGAGAATGCCCTAGGTCTGCCATTTGCGGATTATCCCAATGCCAAAACAATTCTCGAATCCTTCACGTGACTTACCAGGCTTTATGGCCCATTTACATTCAATCGTAACTTATTTCCCATTGGTGGCTTGTTTAATTACCAAAGGCCATATGCCCGACTTCTTCGGCTATTAAGTGAACTTTTTCAAATTTATTGAATTGAACTGGGCGCGTTAATTGAATGGGTTTCCTTTTCGGAGCCTGACTCAGGCCAAAGAAGGATCCGTCTCTCGGAAAATATTCATAAATCTATTGGGGCCAAAGGAGCGGGTGAAAGCGGCCAAGTGAAAGTCATTTAAAAAGTTTCCCAATAATAAGGCAAACGCAAACAAGCCGGTCAAGGTGAGGCGGGTCCTTTCGGTGAAAATGAATTCAATATTAAAGCTCTCAGATAAGATACTCGACGGCTTGCAAGGGCGGACATTGAAAGTTTCTTTCTGCATTTACATATATGCATATATTTGTATTAACAAAGTCTACTTGTTCGGTTCTGTTCAGGCCGAAAGGGGAAGCCAGCAGGATACTCGAAATGAGTTATGTGCCCGGCATCTAAATACCATTTTGACCAAAAGTTTCTCTGGCTCTGGCTTGTTGGCTCGCAGGAAGTGTAAACATGTTCGCAGGTGTCGAAAGCTGAGTCAAGTTTTGGCCAAGTTTTTGGGGCCAGGCAAATGGCCAATTTAATTAGTTTTAGGTTTTTTTTTGTTGGCCACCTTTGTTGGGTATGGCTTGAAACAAAGGCCATAAACAGTTTTCAATTTATTTAAGCGAATATCCTGGCCATCAGGCTAAGAACAAAACCAGCGAGAGCTGCTGCCAGTTTGAGGTCCTGGCTGAGGATGAAATAAACGAAATGTAATCAAGCAGATGGCTGCTGTCCCGATTCATTCCCCTCAATTTCACTCTGCGGTTTTTGGTTAGCCGCATCTGCGAAATTAAAGCGATTTTCATACATTTTGTACCTTTGCCGATCGAGTTAAAAAGTTTGCGGTTTGCGGTCCTCGACTCCCAATTATTTATTTTTATTTTTGTTGCGACTTCCAAGGGAAGCTTAATTTCTGTATTTTATTGCTAAAGAAGTACACGGACCTCTGGCACAAGGAATTCACTGTACATGCCAAAGAACTTGTCACATTGCCGTGGTGACGGCACATACAAAATATTTTCTTTGACCTGTGAAAACTTTCGGTTTGGGGCATTTCTGGGGTCTGGGTCGGCTCCTTTTAAAAGGTCACTCGGCTGCCAAAATGGCTTTGTGCCGAAAAGTTAGGCAATAAAATTTTGCGAGTGGGCGGAAGCCCTGTATGAAAAAGGCCGAGCAAAGGGTTTACATATTATGATGGATGGCGGTTCCTAGGACTCCGAACTGGACTTGGAGGTGGGTCGGCCTAAAAGACCGAACATTCTGTTAATGTGTGTTTGGTTTTATTAGCTTAGGATTTTAAAGGTTCGAAAAGGGATGAATTTTATATTGTGAAACGTTAGAAGCAAACTTATCATATCCTGGAAATTAAAAAAATATAAATATCCTAGTTGAATGTTCTTTTGTAAAAGGTTTCAGCATAAGCTCTTGGTTGTTTCTCAACCTTTAGGAAAACGCTGTCCTTACTAAAAGCTTTGAAGCTTTCGTCCTTTTTGGGAAAAGCACCTGGATGGTGAAAAATTTTCGTAGGTATCCAAATATTAAGTAAAAAACATTACCTAGAAGGACATTTTAAAGCTTTTGGGATTTTTTGTTGGGAAAGTCTATTTTCATATAAAGATTGAATAAATATATTATTCTGTTTAGAAATAATTTTCTCGAGGTAATTAATGGATTTAAAATGAAATTATTTTAGTAATATATATATTTAGTTTTATTTTTTTATTTTAGTCTATTTTATATTTAAGCTGTAGTATTTTTTCTTTTAAAAAATTAAAATATTCATTTAATGGGACTACCTTTTTTAAAGTGCAAACTCGGCATACCGCAAATCTGATTCCCAAAACTGAGAAATTGTTTCTCATTTATGATAAGCTGCTCAAGTAATTAAAATGCTTTCAATATTGATGAAAAAATGGGCCAAAGCCCAGGGCATGTTTTTTGTCAAAGATTTCGGATTGTCGGAAGTAAATTGGCCAGTCACAAAGGCACGGCGAGCAGCAACAACACCATGCAGAGTAAATATTTTCTTGCCACACACATAATTAAATTCCTATTAAATGTCGAAGGCAGCCACAAAAATAAGTAGAATATAATGGCATTTTCAGGGTGCTGCCAATGAAATGAACGCACAAAGCCCGACGACGAGCGCCGACAATGAGAATCAAATTATCAACATAATGGCAGCCGGGAATACAGGAACCACAACGGGAAGGACGAACGGAAGGATGTTTGGTCCTATAGCCATACATACCTATATACATACTTGGCTTGTTCATTCATAAATTGGTTTAAGGTGGGAGGGCTAAAGACACGTGTACGTAGAAAGCTTTTAGTTGCCTAATTAGAGGGTGTCGGGTTAAATGCCTGGTATTTGATAAAAATAGATAGCAGCTACATGTAATAAAAGGATGAATTCTAAAATGGTTAGGGTTCATTTTAACCAGAAATCGGTCAGTTTACAAAGTAAACATTTGAAGAAAAACATAATATAATAAAGATAAGTAGTTAAATAATTAGAGGGTAACCAAACATAAATGCCGTCTGATTCTGTCCTGCCTTTTTAAACAATCCATGTATAACTACCAATTCTATGTTCATGCAATTAATGACCCAATGTACTGGAAGTAATTATCATTTTCTCTACTTCAAATGTCCAATTATTTATTTTATCTCATTTAGGCCCCACAGGCTGACCAAAGTGGACGGCAAATGTGGGCTTGAAATGGTAGTTCCAGTGATATATTAGCGGTGTCCACCAAGCGTGTCCTTGGCTATGTCAACAGCGGACTAAATCGCTGGTGGATAGTCGTGTAATGCAATCAATTACTCAATAATCCCCAAACAAAACTTTGCATAAACAAAACGGCTTGTCGAAAGAATGAGAGCACCAGTAAAAACAACAACTCCACTAACCGGCAAAGAAAAGGCACGACATTAGGTTTAATAACAAAAATCAGCTGTTTAATGTCCTGGCACTCTCAGGACATCTATCCGAATCACTCTCTCAAAAGCTCAGTTGCCGAGTGAAGCTTTCTAGGGCCATGTGGGGTAGCGGGTCAACGCTGCGTATGCGTTACGTTTCACTTTCGCTGAACGTCGCCGAAGTAACTCAGCTTCTGTCTTTGGCGGCTGCTGCGACCCAATCAGGCTCGTTTCGTTTCGATTTCAGTTTCAATTTTAGTTCCCGTGCAAATCCCGAGGCGTCTGGTCGTGTCTCCGGACGAGTCGAGTCGAGTAGAGTCGCGTCCTGTCACATTTCCCCGCATTGAATCGCAGGCGCGCGCGGATTTCGATTGCTATTGCCCTGCTGCTGCCCCAAAAAGTAGGCAACGCGAATTGTGCAAGAATCCCCCACCAAAGCTGACTCCGGGGCCACCGCAAAGCGTGCTCCTCAGCAGTGCCTGTGCATTGGTGTTTAAAGCTTTAATTTGGCCAAGACGTAAGATTTTTATGAATGAACCAGAGCGTTGGTACAATAGGACCCGGGTAGGCCTGTCTTTTGTGGTAATTGTGTTCGATGTGTGAAAGTCGAGGCGTGCCAAGCATATCAAATATCAATACTCGGTCGGAAGGACCAACCATTAATGAGCTATTCCTCTGAAGGCAAATGCTTAATTCTATATAACTTTGTCTGCACCTTTAAGTGTCTAAAAGTAGAAAAAAGTTTAAAATTTAACCAATAATAAAGGCTAAGAGACTTAAACTTTTGAACAATTTTAACGTTTAGTGTTGAATATTTAAGAAGTTAGCGAGAGCCTAAAAGGTATAAGAAACCTATTAAGCTATATTTATTAACATAATCTTTATATTCTTATATTATTCTTATAAAAAATATAACATAAAACATCATAAATTAGTTCTCTGTAAAATTGATAAAAATTGTCCCTAAGAAGCAGATCAAAGCTTTAGTTAAATAAACCCCTTTCAAAACCGAGAGGCTCTATGAGTTAACCCACATAGTGGCTATATCATAAGGTTATTTTACTCACGTGCCAGGCCTTTTGAAGCAGCAACTGAGTAAGCCACCCAGAATCCCAAAGATTATAAAAGCCTCTCTAGGCCTTTGACTAAATGTGAAAAATTTATTTGGGAATTTCTCTCCTGTCGCGCCAATGGAGTGTCATTGTTGGGGTTGCTGCTGTTGTTGACCCGGCTAATACGTGATCAGATCACACAACAAACCGCAACAGCAACAGCAGCAGAAAAGATGGTGGAAATACCTTTCCCTGGCCCTTTTGGCTTAAACGTCGCCATGGCTGCCATTAAAGATGACACACGCCAGCCGGCTGACGCCTGCTTACATTACGAGTACTCGTAAGGCATTCCGATTTCAATTCCACCAACGCCATAGCCAACGTTAAGGCCAAAGCCAAAACCGCCATAGCTCATACGCACCGTAGGCCGCCCGCTCGCCCGCTGAGCTTAATTGCCGAATATTTGGGCGAAGCACAACAAAGACGTTTAAGCAATTTGCCACCCCGAAAAAAAATCGTTTACATTTTTCAGTGAAACTTGTGGCAGGCAAGAAGACGATGCCGAAGGATATATGAGACTGGAAGTCTACAATTACCAAAGAACATCCTTTTTGACACACGGCATAAGTCAAACGGTCGAAGCGTTTTAATTGCCACCGGCAGAAAGGACTTCCTTTGCTTGAGAAGTGCGTGTCCTTGTGTAGTCTGTGTGTGTGTGTGTTAGTGTGTGTGCGCGTTCGTCTAAAAGGTGTGCGAGTGGCAGACGGGCAAAGGAAAGGACCTCGTACAGCCCAAATCCCCGGCCAGACAAGCCTGTTCGGCCTTTCGGTCGACAACCATCAAAGAGGCTTACGTGCCCAATACCCGATACCCCGTCCAGTGACCATTGGGCAGTGTCTAGGACGAACAGACGCCACACTCTCACACATCTGGATCTGGCGAGTCGGGTGAGTGTGCTTCGCAATTGTCGGCCGTTAGCTCGTGTTACGTATACGCCATGTTCCAAAGCCATGCTCCGATGACTGGGAAGTCAGAAGAGGCAGTTCAGAGCCATAACTCATTGTTTCACACTAAGTTGGTACACAAAGAAAAACCAAAACACTGTTATCGGTTTAAACTGATTTAAGTTTTCAGAAATCCGGGTTTCTGTATTAGCCATGAGATTTTTATAATAATCCGCACTGGGACGGCCATACCTTCGGCCATCTTGAAGCAATTTGTGGAACGACTTGTGGATAGATTACCCAACAATCTTCATGAAAATTGAAAATTAAAGTATTTCAAATTTTTCCTGGGTAGCCCCCTAAAATAGTGGGGTTTTTGAGTATGACCCCATATCTGTGGAACGCCATATCTTTCGTATCATTAATGTGATTCTTGGTGGGAAAACCTTAAACAATCTGCATCATAATCCAAAAACCAAATATTCTTTAAACTTTTTTATGTTTTTTTTTTTGCATGAACTACAAATTTGTATTCCTGGGTATTTGGAAAGAATAAATTCCCAACACAAGTTCCTCACTTGGAAGTCATGGCCGAAAAGGCGGCCGCTTGTTAGCCAAATCAACCTGCTCGTTATGACAATAACCTGAAGAAGCAGCATCCACTTGGCCAAAAAGACAAAATAAAATAAAATAAATGGGGTTTCGAGTGCGAAGCAAGATAAAGCCAGGAGTTTACGCGAGAATCGAGTGACAAACTCACACGAAAGTTGAACCGACAAATTTCTCAAGAAATAAAAAATTTGATTTCCCCCGGGAATGAGCTACTCAATAAAGTGTCTCACAAAAAAGCAAACAAAGGAAGACATGTGGCAGAGGAAATGAAAAGGTTAATAGAATACCTTCGGTTGGTTATATGTCTACGATTTACATGTCACGTGGCTGTTAATAATGAATGAACCCTGAGATGGGTCAAAGTAGTGTGCTTTTTGGGGAATCGAACAGGACAGCCGCTAAATTGAATGAAAAGCCAAGGTGTTTCCAGTTGATAAAGAGGCTTTTGAGGCGGCAACCAGACATTAAATATTTGATAAGAAAAGAGCTCAATATTTTATATGTCTAGTCGCGCCTTTTTTGAAGGATTCAAAGAGGCTTAAAAGTTGTTGACTAAAAAACATAAATTCTTTAAAAGCGCTACGATAAAATCTTGTTTAAAATGTAATTTTAAGTAAATCTCGATAGAGGACGTTTATAACTTAAGTTTATCGTAACAGTTTCGAACTAAAGTAAACATCCCTAAAGTATTTCCTTAAGCAGAAAGCTTTCCTCCAGTTCACATATCGCTTAAGCGAGGGCCATTAAGGATTATCTATTAACCCAGTTCTCTAGTTTCTCGCCGCCGAGTCAGATCCTCTCAAGGCCAAGTCTTTAAATTAACGAATACAGTGTATTCTGCAAATGTATCCTAATTTTGTTTTCAGACTCCCGTCAAGTGCGGCAACTTCTTAGCTGAACTTAAGCAGCTCTCCTCGCATCTATGCGCCTTCGCGTGCCGTCTGCTTGTCCTCAAAGTTTGCAACTTGTCGCATACACGACATAAATCCACACACATAGACAGCCACGTCCACAGAAGCCAAGTACTTTACTATAAGTATGTATACAAGGCCTATCCACGGGCTTTGGAGACAAAAAGTTCTTGCTAAGGACGTTTTTTGTTTGGAATTTTGATGTGGTAGGAGCTAGGGGTTGGGTGTAGGCAGGGCCATTGGGTGAATATCTCAAGTTGGAGCGCTTTACGAGAGGCTGTCAAAAAGCCAAGTGAGACATTTGTTTTCACTGTCTTTACAACTTCCGGCTTGTCGCTTTAACTATGCTGGATGCTATACTCTGGTGCTCTAAAAATGTTTGCATGGCTGCTCCGTAAAGTATGTATGCAACAGCCCGCTGAGCCTTAACAGGTTTTCATCAGACCTGAACACATGGGGATAAACCTACACCTATATGGATATACGTATTACATTTGTACATTCGTTCCACTTGGCTCGGTCGGAGCCCATCAGGCATGTCTTCTCGGAAAACGACAGCCCAGTGGGATAAAAGTAACATAACATCATGTTTGTGTAATCATTAGACAAGGATACTCGCCCATCCATCCGCACAGGCACACATTACCGCACTGAAATGCACAAATCAATGCCACATTGTGTCCTCCGCTCCCAGTTATCCTGTTTGCTTTTGTTCTCGGAGTCAAGGCTTTGACGAAATGTTAATCAAATCTCTTGTTCCAGCCAGAAAAAGACAAAAAGGCAAAACCTACTGATGGGGAGGGTCGGCATTGTTGTTTGCGTTGCAATCTGTTCGGGTGTTAAGTAGATTTATGCCACTCCATTATGCTATTCAGCATTGGAGAGTCCAATTAAAGGTGCCCCTTTCGAGGCCCTTTAAAAAACCTTCCACTTAGCCAGGCAATAACAGGGCACCGGCTCCGAAAGCATCCTTTTTATTTAATACGAAGCTTTTGTGGAAAATTAAAAGGTAAAAAAACAAGCTAAGCCGAGTCTTAAATACCCTTTACAAAAATACAACTTCAAAAGATTAAATTTCTTCAAAATATTTAATGAATACCGTAGCAGGGAATACGCTTTCGGGCATTATTTTCTTGTCTTTTATGGGGCTGCATTTTATGCGTGGCTCATCCCACAGAAGAGGAATCTCCCGTTCTCTATACTGGGATATTTTAAAAGAAACTCGTTACTCAAATCTGAAATGCCAGTGGAATGCTAATGAAATGATGGGCGTGGCCTTGTCTCCGCCCCTTTCGGATCCCACCGCCCCTTTCGGGTTGGCTGCTTTTCAGTTGACCTAAGCGGCTTTCCAAAAATGTATGTTAATTTTTCCGTCTGTTCTTTATATTTGATTTTTTTTCGAGAAAATTTCCGTAATTATTTCTTGGGGATTTTTTAGCCCTTGCCTCGTGTCCCATTCTTTGAATCAGCTGGAAATCGTTTATTAAATTTTTTATAAGCTGCCAACGCATTTTTTCTGCCTTCCCATGGCATTTAAATTTTTATGCTACCGCTCTGTGTTTGCTTTAGCATTTATTTGTATTTTTGGCCAAATACAAATTGGACATAACTTGGGGGTGGAGGAAAATATCATAATATTAAATGTTTATTCCGCGTTTAATGAATTGAATATTTATTCGTTTTTTTTGCGGTCAAATAATATAAATCCTGTTTGCTGTCGGAAATTTATTGCAATTTATGTTAGATTCTCTATGTGGTTAATTTATGGAGTCGTATTAAAAAAATATATATTTACAGTGACTATAAATAAAAAGCGCCTAAAAAGGGGATTATTATTTATTTCTATACGCTCTTTTTGCTAATTAGTAGCTATTAATCATTGCATATCACAGAGAATATACAATTTTACTGCAAGTAAATCAATGGCAACTGTGAAAGGCTTTAATACAGATTTCATATAGAAATGCAATATTTTGTTCTATCCCCAGTGGGTTTCTTTTTTCACAGCAATAGTTATATCAAATTGTTTATCCTGCGGCTAAAATGTTGACTTTCTCCCAACTGAGACAAGCAAAAAACCAAAAATGAAAAATATTTGCCATTTTCGGTGACCCACATATCCATTTCATATTCGACACCCAACTGCATCTAATTCAGAGTCCCGAATTGTACTTGTATTGCCCCGCACATTTGTTTACTTGCCACACACACACACACACTCCTGCAATCTGCTTTAATGCCATATTACGGAAAGCTGAATGGAATTGAAAACGCAAAAAGAGAGACTCAAAACGGCAACACACGAATACGCACACGTATTCACATGCACACATGAATAGTTGAGCGCTGGGCGAATGCGTAAACAGTCAACAGAAGGAGGAATGAGGATAAGAGCAGGGTGCAGGAGGCAGGAGGCAGATGGCAGGACTCGGGCAGTAGGAGGCATGCGGCATGAGGCAGGAGGAAAAGGAGGAAAGTGGATCGGAAGCACAACAAAATTTTTCAAAAATAAAATCACGCTGTAAACAGACAAAAGAAACCGGGATGGCAGGAGTAACAGCTGGCTGGCAGGGTTGAGAAAAAAAATAAACAATCAACTCTGAATAGCTTAAGTCAAAGGTTACGACTATCTATACCCGGTACTTAAAAAAAATCGCTTGATTTAAGGGACAAGTATGTATAAGTAAATGTCTATATGATCTATTGGTAAAATAATTTCAAAGGCCTTATAAATATTTCATGCTATTTCAAACCAAACTCCTAAAATCTATAAAGCAGAACATACCCTTTTTTTATTACAAGTACCGGGTATCGAAATTTCTAATGGAGTCTTAGTTGGAATTTTTGAATGTAGAAAAAGCTGAGCATACAAGTCGGAATATATATATGTATGTATGTATACATCGTGTACAGCAGGATGTCTGCATCTTCCATTTGCCTTTTGTCTTTAAGCGTTTATTTCGAGAGACAAACTTTTTGCTGGCAGCCATTGTTTTCGTTTCACAGCCGCCCTGTTGTTCGCTCCCCAGCGCTAATTTATCTTGTCAAATATGATTTAATGCCTTGCCACGCCCACTTGCACACACCCAACACTCGCCCTTTGACGGTATAAAGAATGGCTGCAGCAACAGCCACAAGCTTAGCATTTATGGCAGGAGCTTAGCCACTCCCCGCCACGGCCAATATTCCAATTTACTGGGAATTTGTTAAGCGTAATGATAAACGATGCCATTATTTGTGGTGTATGCAATTGCAGTTTAATGCGTGAAATTATAAATTCGCATTTGAGTCCGCCCAGTGCCCTAACGAGGCTTATTATCCACATAAGTACAGAAAAGGGCGGCCTCTGGACTAGCAATTGATTGATAATATTTTGTAAGCCCCACACAGCAAAAAGGATTTCAATTATTTGGGGCACATCCTGTCGTAGAGAGTGATAATCCCCCAATTTATGATGAAAATGATGATGAAAATATATGC